CCATCAGGGGCCCGTACGTATCCACCTTCAGCGACCTGGCAGCCGTCTGTAGACTGACAACTCAATAACAGGCACTCGGCTCTGACAGACTTCCTGGCTGTAAGTTTTGAGGTGTTTTTCATTCTAGATGGAAAACTCGGCTGACCAGACAGTCAAATAATATTTCAGCCGCACAAATCCGTGACGACTACGAACAACGGCTGCAGACAGCCCAGCAACAGGCCGAACAAGAGGCCGCTCAGCAGGAAGAGGCCGAAGATACAGTCGAAGACAGCGAGTACCAACCGGATTCTCCCGAAGAGCAGACAAAGAAGCGGAAGCGACAACAGGCAATTGAAAGGACCAAGAAGAGCAAGGAGTTTGCTCGTCGCAAGGCCCGGCGTGCTGGGGAGCCTGATGATGATGATGATGACGCGCTGGCAAATGAGATGGTGAATGAGAAGGAGCGGCCGAAGAATCCAGGTCAGCTGGCCAATTGCAAGATCTGCGAGAAGCGCTTTACGGTCACGCCCTACAGCAAGACAGGTCCCAGAGGAGGCCTGCTCTGTGCCGACTGCTCCAAGAAGCACGCAGGCCCGGGCAAGAAGGCACCGGCAAAAAAGCGCAGCTCAGGGATTGGGCGCCGTCAAAATCAGAAATCTTTGCTGGATGGATATGTTTCTAATGGTGCTCCGAGTCTGCTGGAGACATGCATCAAAGTACGAGCTTCAGCCCACCGTGTTTTTGATCATGTACTGACCCTCGTTCTAGAAAGTGGGCGATAATATTGACAATATCGAAGAATTCGGCGACTTGCCTCCGCAGCTGATGCATCGCCTCAGCCAAATTCTGTCCCGCAATCGAGCGGTGAACTCGAGGACTCTGGAGCTCTTCTTACGGCCTCAGTACAGATCCATCGATCTCTATGACTGTGCCAAACTCGACACCGACGCGTTCCACAAAATCCTCGCCTCTATGCCCGGATTGACTCGGTTGAATCTCCGCTTCGTCACCCCGTTCAAGGACGCCGTTTTCGAGTACATGCTCGACCGCGATCTGAAGATCCAGGATCTGCAGTTGGATTCACCGAACCTGGTCTCCAACGGTTGCTGGCGCCAGCTTTTCATGAAACTCGGTCCGCAGCTACAGACTCTGAAGCTCTGGAACCTCGATTGGGCTTTTGACGATGAAACCGCGGAAATCATGTGCAACAACTGCACTGGCCTTCGGCGGCTGAAGTTGAAGCACCTCTGGAATCTCGGCGATGCCGCGCTTAAATCAATCTCGTCGCTGAAATCCCTTGAGCACCTCTCCCTCAACCTCAAGCAAGAAACCACCAACGAGCCTCTTCTCCATATGGTTTCTCAATTGGGCCCGAACTTGCGGACCCTGTCTTTGGAGGAGTTTCAACAAGCGGATGACCAGCTACTTCAAAGCATTCATGATCATTGCCACCATTTGTCCAAGTTGCGACTCACCAGCAATGCAATCATTACCGACAGAGGCCTGGCTGATCTCTTCCGGGACTGGAAAAATCCGGCTCTGACGTCTGTGGATTTCCACGCACTCCGAGACGTCGATACGGGCAACCCTGCTGGTCCTCCGGAACCGATCGGTCTCGCGTCAGATGGGTTCAAGGCTCTTATGGAACACTCAGGGTCTAAGCTCGAGACCTTGAACATTGCTTCATGCCGTCATATCACGCATGCCGCGTTCGAAGAGGTGTTTAGCGAGAAGAAGCGGTATCCGGCACTTAAATCTCTGGATATCTCGTTCCAAGTGGCCGTGGATGACTACGTGGCGCAGTGCATTGTCCGATGCTGCCCGGCTCTTACGAAGCTGGTTGTCTTCGGGTGCTTCGGCATTCGAGATCTTCGTATTCACCGAGGAGTTGCACCCATTGGCCTTGTGACTGCAAAGGTCACGGTCGATTAGATCGTCTAGGAGACCGTTTACACTTCGATCGATACCTCTTATCCTGCGAGCCTTCATGGCCGCCATTGTTGTACCTTAGCTGTTAACGCATTTTTACGAATACACGACGTCTCTTTGAAAGATCAAATATTCTCTATTCGCAAATATCACTCAAACTTATGTACAACCCGAACGCCATCGTAGTGCATCATTAAATCAAAGAGGAAGAAAAAAAATCAACCAACAATCTATCATGTCATTCGCTTTCCAATCTCGCTCTGCCACCCACGCGACTTCTCAAAGCCATTTGACGCGGTTTGGTAGTCCATCATAGCCTGGTAGACTTCCTCCTGGGAGTTCAACACAAACGGGCCGTACTGCACGACCTTCTGGTCCAGCGGCTGGCCCGCGACAAGAATGAAGCGGCCCTCGGCGTCAGCGTTATCGGGCACCGAGGCATCGACATAATCGCCTTCCTGGTCAAAGACCACATTGTGGAACTCCTTGACAATGCGCGTGGAGTCATTCGACCCGAAGACCGTGTTGCCGGCCAAGGTGTACGCAAAAGCATTCCAGTTCTGCGGGAGGGGCTGCGAGATCCGCCCACCGGGCCGGATGGTCACATCCAGCAGCCAGACAGGCGTGTAGGCAAGGTCGCGCACGGAGTCGACGCCATGCGACTGGCCCGAGATGACCTTGACGGTAACGCGGCCGTCATCCAGGCTCGCAGTGGGGATCTCCGACGCGCGCAGGTCGCGATACCGCGGCTCACACATCTTCAGCTTCTGCGGCAGATCAACCCACAGCTGCATCCCGACGTTGGGGCTGCCGTCTTCGTTCTCGTGGGGCATCTCGGCGTGCATAATCCCGCGACCGGCCGTCATGAACTGCAGGTCGCCGGGCCCAATGGTGCCCTTGTTGCCGGCAAAGTCTTCGTGGTCGACTCCGCCCGAGAGCAGGTAGGTGATGGTTTCCTGGCCGCGGTGCGGGTGGTCTGGGAACCCGGCGCCCTTGCCGATGGTGAAGTGGTCGAGCATGAGGAACGGGCTGAAGTTGCGCAGCTTGGCGGTGCCGATGGAGCGGCGCACGCGGGCGCCGGCACCTTCAGCTTGTTCGACGGCTAGGAAGGCCTGCCGGATTGCGCGGGGGACAGACATGCTGGTTATGGGGTTGATGGTGGGAGGAGGAGGGAAAGAGTCTGGGTTGTTGGAAAGGGAGGTGTTGTCGATCTTTAGAAGCGAGCTCGGCTTGAGATAGGCAAGTAGATTGTCTTTCGTGGAGAAGACGATTGCAGCGATGCAAATTAGAAAAGCCAGGAGGAGTCTCATGGATGGGATGGCGGCTTTTTATACCCTGGGGCAGACCAGTCCGAAGGTTCCAGTCCTTATATATCAAAGCCTTCACTCAGCGTTAGTCAATTACTCTACGAACTAACCAACTAGGTCTGTGCTTGGTGAGAATCAGTCAGCTTGACAAAGACCCCCGTCAGCGGGTCATCAGGATGCTGATTGGTTCGACGTGGATGCCTCATTGATGAGGAATCCATTACAAATTTCGTGTCAGCCACAGCCCGGGTCGATCTGATTGGAGGACAGGCAGTGGCGATCTACCTTCATGTGTTTCTAGGTTATGAAATCTGTGATCTATTCCTTATCATAAGCTAGTTCGCTAACTTAGTATAGAGACGACTCTCAACAATGGTATGAGAAAATAAAGTGTGGTATCCAAACAGTGTTAATTAGGAGACTGCAATCTCAGATCTCACCCGATCTCCCAAAATACATTTGACTAGCGACCACAACAGGCACACTGGCCGCTTATTTGGCAGCATGGAGGATGGCCGTCATTGCCACAATAAATCGAATCACATGGATAGCTACACAACCAGTAGTCATCATCATTACCTAACTATAGGTATTGTATTAGAATACAGAAGCCTGCTGATCCTTCTAGTTTAAAACGAAACTTCGCTCCGTTTTAGGTGCAGTGCTCGTCTGTTAAAAGATGCCATCGAAGTTGGAGTAGAGATGGGGGTTGAAGTCAAAGGATGCTCTTTCATTGTTGTTTTCATCAGCAAATGTACGGATCTATGGTCTCTTCTTATTGGGTACTTACCTGCGTTTGTTCTGCTGGCAACTTCAATCTCGACTTGCGCGTATTTAGGCTGGGTTGTGGATGTAGCTAAGCACGTCGACGTCGCGCAGAGCAATATCACTAAGAAGTTAGTATATTTATCCTCTTATTGTTCGAGTATAAAATGGAAAAGGCCGAGCTTACCAGATAGAGGCAGTGTGAAGCGCATGTTGGTAGATAGGAAATATTATCAATGCAGCAGAGATAAAAATTGAACGTGAGAACTTGAAGGCTTATTGAGGAAATTGGCTAATTATTTATATAGTGACTTCACGAGCCGTGTTGATGTCTTACTCCCAATAATAACATTCGTAGCATGCGGTTTTAGTCCAATTATTACCAAGGATCGCTATTGCTGTAACCTCAATAGTAGTTCGGACCCATCTAGTTTGAAAAGACACATGAAATTAAGATCATCTCTGTTTGAGAAACGATGATTCAAGTGATGCTGAGCAGTGATGTAATCACTTTCCAACCCTTACTTGCTAACTCTCCCTTACGTGCATGTTTGTGATGCTTCTATGATATACGTAAAAAGCCCCCACAAAACTACAACAGAAGGAGTCTCTTTTATATACCCCTTACGTGACGAAAGTATTATGATAGGATTGACCCTGCGTGGGATCATCTGCTAATAGTATTGAACATCTTATCCAGTAATGGCGTACAAGACTTGTACCCTATGTGTAAGAGAGTCTACGAGGGGGCAGCGTATCCGCTCGTCGATAAATGCGTCTACCTAAGGAAGGAGGCTTAAAAATGACTTTCATATACCAACTAGTACTTGACTAGCTGGTGAACTCCGCCTCTTTGTTTTAGAGCAGGCTGGAAAGTTGTCTAGCCGCAGAGGTTCTAGGGACCGGGGTTATCATGGAATGCACGTGAGCTGACGGTTTGATGGCCTTTGAGTAATGTTGTTTGCCCAATCGATCCGACCCCGCGAACGGTGTTTTAAGCAGCACGCTTCTAGGCTGATGAAAATTGTACAAAAGAAGAAGACAATCCTTAACTGGCCTCTGTTCGAGGTAGATCCCCTTGACAAATGGGTGTCTGACTCCGGAAAATTCATCTTGATTGGCGATGCATCTCATGCTATGGTGCCTTACCTTTCTATGGGTAAGTTGACTAACTCTAATGCTAACTTAGAAAGCGTCGAACCGCTCTAACCCTGTATTTTTCAGGTGTCTCAATGGCGGTAGAGGATGCCGCTGCGTTATCCAAAGCACTATCCTACGCAACGGACAAGCACGATCTGAAGCCATCTCTCCGACTAGTGGAGCAAATTCGCATCAACCGCACCAGACAGGTCCAGAAGGCGAGCCTTGCCAACGGGCAGGTCCTCCATATCTGTGATGGCCCGGAGCAACAGGCCAGAGACGCAGAGCTACGCCCTTCTGTGGAGGGGAAGCCACTGGACCGAAGCCCCTACGGTATTAACGATCGGGCCACCCAAGCGTGGTGTTATGGATGCGATGTGGAGCGAGACATCGAAGAGGCCTGGGTCAGCGCCGGCGGAGTCTGGTAACGATTCACGGCACCTTTTGAAAATCTTCAAAGAAGAAAAATCGATCTAACAGAATAGCGGATGGGACGTCGTTTATGCCGTACTGTAACATCAAACCCGTATGGTCCCGCAAAGTCTTGCATTGAATCTCCCGTCAAGAGCGATTCTCAAAAGTCTCAACACCTGGCGTCATACCGAGTATTGTTGTTGTTCAATAGTGCATATGCCCGATGTAGCTACCTATGGTTGAACCCAAAAGTAAAAATGGTACGATAATCCTTCCGTCGATTTCGTTCTCTATAATGTGAGTATGCCCTGATTATGGTATCGGTGCTTTCAGTGATGATGGATCTATCCGAGCAGCAAATATCATGGCTCAAAGACACCAATGAAGGCGGACCGTTGCTGGAAATGAATAAGCTTTTGATAGAGATATCGCGGATTGCTGGAGCTGTTGACACTACCGATGTCTCTAATCAGCCGTACTGGAGGCCAACCAGAAGCGGGATGAATAAGCTCGCCAGGACTAACTAGATTAGGGAGTAAAAACCGGAGAAGAGCGAAAGAGCTTGATTGGGTAATTGGAGATAATGGCCAGTCACTTTATACTATAGGTAGACGGGGGTGGAGCTGTAAATAGCTTCAAAAGATGGGGAAGAAGAAAAACGACGATTAGATTGTGGTATAGCTGAATTCAAAAGTGTCAAATTATCTTCAAACTCTCACATTCGACGTATCCCAGTCACTGCTAGCCTCCTTCAAACCCAACCACTCTGTCGAGCACGATTATTTTTCAAAGACCCAACAACTCATTCATTACTGGCTTTTTGCTCGTGGGACTCGCTAGGCTGCTGCTTTGTTTCACCTTTGTTTCCCTCGTGATGTCCCCAGCCCCAACTGCGGCGGCGTTCCTTCGGACCTTGATGGGCTTTATTATCTGTATGACCTTGTTAGTATATGCCAGACGCAGATGTCCAGACGAGGGAAAGTGAGGTCGTACAAGCTGAGATACTAGGAAAAGTCTCGTTGACGTGTGATTCAGGCTGAACAGACTCGGGATTTTGATTGACTGGCTCTTGCTCGGGAGGAGCGTCGGGGGACTTGGCCGCCTCCGTTGAGTCGGTTGAGCCTTGACGTGAGCGATGGTGGATCGCGTCCGATGCTCTGCGGATGAAGTTCGACATAGTGGGATATCAATGTTTGGAATAAATCGAGTCGATTTGTCCGAGAATATTTGGTGGTACTCTTGAAAGACTAACTTCGATAGTACACTTTGCTCACAAACGCCCTCTATATATAGTTGACCTACCACCGGGCGACTGACATCATATTGCCTGATTGGTACCAAGATGTTCTCGTGATCACTCCTCTTATCCCTATCTTATAGATAAATAAGGTAGCTAGAATCGCCACTACAACCAGTAATTATCGATAACTTTAGGAGCAGCAGGACGAACGCATCATATATGGAGAACGTCATTGGCGGACCGCTGGTGGGAAGCTGGGTCTAAGGATGTCTGGATCCGACGCCTCCAAAAGCATGTAGCCATTCTTGGACACATCATATGATACTCACCCATTGGATACAGAACTTTAAAAGTACCTTTGTTGCGGGGGTTTGGCTGCCCTGTTTGGCATCGAGGTACAGCTGGGTGTGATCACGTGATCAGACAGCCCGTTATAGGAAGCATGGGGAAAGAGTACCTTCAGTCAGTCGGCTGTTATTGCTTGATATCCGTTGTGTACCTACACTGCACATATTTGAGTAGCCCGCATAGAAAACATTCATTCACATTTTAAACTCTATTGGACGCCACTAGAATTTAGCAAGAAGAGGAAATTCTTTACAACAGCCCCTTGAGCGGTGGTAGCTTCACAGGGACATCGTGAACGTGGCTAGCTGACAAAATCAGACAGACTGAGTGGGAATCAACAACGATCTTTGGTATGTAACCCTTGCAAGGTCGATATTTCCCTCTAACCAAAGAATAACAAGCAATATTAGAGTTGCTCTTTGCATTTTTCAACAACTATAAGAAGGCCCTTGTCGTTCAGCTCGTACTCTTCCTTCCACCAGTCTCGTTCATCTCTAACACACTCCGACGATACGTACATCCAATTCTCAAGGTAGATCAATTTGAAGACATCGTTCTACAAACCGGAACTCTGATCAATCCTACAGCACGATGATACTTCCAACCCTTGTGGCTTTGGTCACGTACGGCGCTGTTATCGCCGGTGCTTCTCCATCCCACCTCGTTAAGAGGGACGACAACGTTTCATGCGACGTGGACAAGTGCATTGCTTTCTACTCCACCGGTAGCGCACAGTGTTCCTCTGGCTACGAGAAGACTTATATTAAGGCAAATGGCTACCCGCCCGGCTCCTATTGTGAGAGAAACTGTACAGACAGCGAACAGACGTCTTGCGCCGCAAGGCAGTGTACGGACTGGGAGAACGAGTGCAACAACACTCCCCAAGGGAAAACTGTTTGCAAAGCTGCTCTCGATTGGTGCGATGGCCCCGTGGCGATGAGCCAGCTAATCTGCACGGATAAGATCATGGGACAGCCTGTCACGTATGAGAAAGACGCGTGCTTTCCCAAGGACAAGACCCTGGATTCGCGTGCTTACCACAAGGCTGCAAAAGGACCCGGGGGCCGGTTCGTAGCGGTTGTCAAGGACGAAAACAAGAAGAACGGTTACGTCAAGTACGTTTGTGAGCCCGTCCACTACACCGACGGCAGTAGCATGGCGGCAGACCTCACTGCCAAATACGACAGCTGCATGTCTGTTTTCGACGAAAACGACAATGACCAAGGGCGCGACTTTGTGAGAGTGGATTGCAGCAATATCCCCGAGGCCAAGTGGCCGCAGGTGAAAAGCCTCCTCGGGGACAGTTGCAAGAAGGCTGAGCCTTGGAATGGCAAGAGCGCTCATTTCCAAGAGAACACCTTTAAATGAGGGATTTCAGGATTTTGGTCTTTTGGGTTGTGGCAACATAGGGACAGGCAATTCGCGATCTCTCTCCCTTTACCTCTATACCACGATCTCCATCTCTTTTATCTACTCGTTATTGACTTCATCGTCATCCGAAGAAAGTGGAGCCCTCAACTGTCGCAAGTTCATAGTCAATGCGTAAATTTGAAGGTGGTGAAAGCCGCCGAGTGATCCAAGTGCAATGGCGAAACATGTTCTGGGGACAATTGGCATAGATCGCCGGCATCTGATAAGGCCACGGAGCGGATCCCCCGAACTCTCCTGCCCAGCTGGCCCTCTCGCGCCAGACCATTCCCCAACGTTCCCCCTCGGATAATGCTCGACTCTGCTTATTATCCTCTTTTTCTACCGTCCTCCTCTCTCGTCTGATGGCACATTAACCTCTTACTCTCCCCGACTCCTAGCTGCGATTGACCGCACCCTCCGCGGGGGAAGCTCCTCCAGGCAGACCGGCCCCAGTCGCGTTCTCTCCATCCACCCTACCATCCGACGAAGATGATCCATACCATGCACCGATCAATACCACGGCTGACCCCCTGGCTCGTCCTGGCATGCGCCGCGTCTGGCACATGGGCTGCTAAGCGGGAGTTCAGCATCAATGATGACTTGCTGGCCTTTCCTCAGGTGCGCTTGATGACCTGGATCGGTCTCAACTGATGCTGATTTTTTCCAGTACGAAGTGATTTTCCCACGCGAGTACATTCTCGATGACCAGGCAGAAAAATTGCTGCAATGGCAGGACGAATTCGACCTATCCGGCGGCAACCCGTCCAGCCAAGACCCGCAGCTCTATCTGGGCAAGGACGGCGCCAATCCAGAGAGTGCAGAAGAGCAGGATGAACCGATGTACACCTACGAAGAAATGATTCTCGACGACCGACGCCTACTCTGCCAAATCCCCCACGTCACGCAGGATGACCTGAACGCGACGGCTGCCGCACAAGGCGACACTAAAGCCGACGAACAGAAAGAACTGGCTCGGGCGACCGACCGCGGTCTCGAACTCCTCCGCGAGTTGGAAGGCAGATGCATGTACTACTTCTCCGGGTGGTGGTCCTACTCTTTTTGCTACCGCAAACAAATAAAGCAATTCCATGCTCTCCCAGCCGGGCGGGGGATCCCACATTATCCACCGGTGGAGGATACAAGCGCGCTTTCCTTCATCTTGGGGAGGTTCCCCAGCGACGACGCGGAGATGGATGGAGAGACAGAACACAAGCAGGCCAAATCCGATGTGGCGGAGCTGCACACCAAGGGAGGATCACGGTATTTGGTCCAGCACCTTCGTGGCGGAACCAAGTGCGACCTTACGGGGCGCGATCGCCGGGTCGAAGTACAGTTTCACTGCCATCCTCAAGGAACAGACCAAATCGGCTGGATCAAGGAGCTTACTACTTGCTCGTATCTAATGGTCATCTACACACCGCGTCTCTGCGACGACGTTGCGTTCCTGCCACCCCAGCAGGACGAGGTGCACAGCATCGAATGCCGCGAGATTCTTATGCCCGAAGAGGTTGAGGAATGGGCGGCTGCAAAAGACTGGCATACCGTCCAGGATCTAGCTGCTGCCGCCGCCGAAGCCGCCGCCGATTTATCGGGCATCCAGACCGTTGGCGGCATCCAAGTTGGCGGCCAGAAGCTGGTGGGGATGGCGGGTAAGGAAATTGAGAAGGGACGTGTGGCCTCGGCCGGCGAGGAGCGAGTGGAGCTGATCGGGAAGCGCCAGGATGGCGAGGAGTGGTGGCTCTCTAAGCAGGAGCTGAAGAAGTATGATCTCGATCAGGAAGGACTCGAAACCATGAAGCAGAAGGTCGAGCAGATTGCCAAAGGTCGAGACTGGACGTTGGAGGCGGTGGAGATCAACGGGAATATTGAATACCGCGTGTTTGTCGACAAGAAGGATGACAAGGACAGCCAGGGTGAAGCGGACGGGGATGAGCCTGCTCAGAAACCAGCCCAGGACGAGGCCCCGACGCCGGAGACCAAGTCGGAGCGTCCACAGCCATCGGATCAAGACCAGCCGGAGGGCCAGGAAGAGGGCAGTAAGGAGATTTTCAAAGACGAGCTGTGAGGCGGTTCGTTGTATAGTAGATGATTCTCATGTATTTATTTTTGGTCAATCCATGTCAGGTACAGCCGGTTAGCTTCATGCCCAAAGACGTCACACTCCCCAGTTGACCCAGTCGGACCCGGTCGGGGATGCCGGCATCGGGGAGACACTGCAGACCGCACTGCAGAAAGCCGCTGGAAAAGCAAAAGGAGTACCTAGGCATTGGCGCTGTAGCCATAGTAAGAATGGTCAAACAGTTGGTGTGTTGCAGCAGGTACATAGTGAAGAGAACGTGACCCTCTCCTCGAGCCAGCCAGCGACCGGCCCACCTTCCCGCCCTCCCTGATCCAACTGCAACTCACACACTCTCTCCCTCACTCCCTCACTCCCTCTCTTCCCCCGTCCCGAGTCCTGCGCCTGGCGCTGTCTCTTCTTCTTCTTCTCTCCTGCGCATTCATTCTTCGTTCCCCTTTCTTGACTTCTCTGCTTTGCCTCTACCCCATTCGTTCGCGCACCCCAGCCGGATCTTGCCAAGCGCTGATCGCGTAACGGCCAGCGTCACCAACCACCCGACCTCGCGGAGACAGCACCACAACCACAATTTACCTTAACCCGGAGCTGCACACTCCCTAGGTGCTGCCGCTCAGTGCGGGCCGGAGTTTTTATTGTTGTTGGTCGCAGGTGCGGGCCTTGTGAGATTCGGAGATCCCGATCCCTTTCCACCATGGGGTTCCTCGGCGTCTACTCGGCTCTCTACGACTACGAGCCCCAGGGAGAGGGCGAACTTGAGATCCGGGAGGGTGATCTGCTCTATATCTTGGAGAAGAGCACAGAGGATGATTGGTGGAAGGCCAAGAAGAAGGCAGAGCGGGAGGATGAGGACGAACCCGAGGGTCTCGTTCCCAACAATTATGTGGAAGAGGTAGGATCATACCCTAGTGTGCGCGTATGAGGGCGCTGGAGCTGTCATACAATACTTCAGGGGTTGACTCGGCGCATTGGATGACCCCGACCAACAAAACACCGAGTTTGCTGACGATTGATGATCTCAACAGGCGCAACCCATACATGCGGCAAAAGCCCTCTTCGATTACACGCGGCAGACGGACGAAGAAGTGTCCTTCACCGAAGATGCGGAGCTGATGGTGTACGATACCTCCGATCCGGATTGGACTTTGGTCGGCGCCAACTCCGACTTTGGATTTGCGCCCTCGAATTACATCGAAATCACCGAGGATGTTGCTCCCACTGCTGGTACTGCCGTTGCGTCACCTCCTATACCAGATGAGCCCCCGGCGCCAGCTCTCCCCCAGCGGCCCTCCAAGACAAGCACGGAAGAATATGAAAGTCCGGCAGCGTCTCCGATTGACACCGTTCATAACCCTGCAGCAGCTGCTATTGCGGACATAATACACAAGCAACATGCTCCAGCTGCGATGCCGGTCGAGTCCACTAGGGATGAATCGCCCCCGCCTCACCTTCCCGTCCGGCCTTCGCACGACCAAGAAGAAGAGGAACCGGGGCCTGCCCTTCCACGGCGACCACCGTCGCAGCAGGTAACCCCAATCATGCGCCAAGAGTCACCCGAGCCCTCTCCTTCGTCTCGCCCGCCACCGGCCCCTGGAGCGGGCCGCGAAGGGGGACTCAGAGAGTCCCCTCCCTACAATAAGGCCGCTGCGATGACGCCGCGATCACCGTCCGGATACCATATGTACAACATCAATGAGATGGTAGAGGCAATGGGCAAGAGGAAGAAGATGCCTACCACATTGGGGATCAATATGGTCACTGGCATCATCTTTATTTCACCAGAAGGAGATGACCACCAGCAGGAGTGGACCGCCGATAAACTAACTCATTATTCAATTGAAGGAAAACATGTCTTTGTGGATTTGGTTCGACCAAGCAAAAGCATCGATTTCCACGCGGGAGCCAAAGACACTGCCCAAGAGATTGTCGCCGCGCTTGGTGAGATTGCAGGTGCTTACCGCGCAGAAGGGTTACGGGAGATAATTGAGGCAGGCGAACAAGGAGGTGGTGGCCAAAAGAAGGGCCAGATGCTGTATGATTTCATGGCTCAGGGCGATGACGAGGTGACTGTGGCTACGGGCGACGAGGTCATTATTTTGGACGAACACAAGTCCGAGGAGTGGTGGATGGTGCGACGGATGAAGAACGGCAAGGAAGGCGTTGTTCCCAGCAGCTTTGTCGAGATAACAGGTTTCGCGACCGAAGAGCCACCACCCCCCGTGGAATCTGCAAAGTCAACAATCGCGAAGAACCGCAAGGAGGAAGCCCGGCTGGCCAAGGAAGCCGTGAAGCCAAGAAATGACTCGATTGATTCCTCAGAGGTGAGAACTCACGCCCATACGCCTGATATACCGATGCTGAAGAGCCGCTATCATCCACAGCGTCACAAGCGCGACAGCAAAACCAAGTCAAGTAAGTTGGCCCTTTTTGTTACACGAGATTCTGAGCCTAACAAGACTCTAGAGCCCGACTCTAGTAAAGTGAGGAAGTGGACGGACCGAACCAAAGAATTCACGGTGGAAGCGCAATTCATTGGTATTCAGGATGGAAAGATTCATCTTCATAAGGTGAATGGCATTAAAATTGCCGTCCCAGTCACCAAGATGTGTGTCGAGGACCTCGAATATGTGGAAAAAGTGGCCGGGGTCTCACTGGATGAAGACAAACCCTTGTCAAGCATCCGAGCTCGAGCCTCCTCCAAAGCTGGTGCTTCAGTGCAGCGACCCGAATACGATTGGTTCGATTTCTTCCTCAAGGCCGGTGTCAACCCGCATCAGTGCGAGCGCTATGCGCAGAACTTCCTCAAGGACTCGATGGATGAAGCCGTGCTGCCCGACATTACCCCCGACACTCTCCGCACTCTGGGCTTGAAGGAAGGCGATATTCTGCGAGTAATGCGCCATCTGGATGCCACGCTCGTCCGCACAGGTAGCAAGGCCAAGATGCGGAATGTCAGCTTCGGCGGCGAAGAAGTCATCGACGGAGACGGCGGTGGGTTGTTTGCTGGTGCCGGTGGCACGTTACGCAACAATACTCGCAAAGGCAGACCGGTCCCGGCGGTACAAGCTAGTGATGTTGTTGATGCCAAGGCGCTCGGAATCGCAGACGAGCCCAAAGCTTCTTCCAAATCCCCAGAGCAAGTTCCCAGCCCGAGTGCTCCTGCGGTGCCTGAAAAGCCCGTTAAGACTGGATTTGACGACGATGCATGGGAAGTGAAAGAACCAAGAAAGACCGCCACCGCGCCGTCTACTTCAGCACCGCCGTCTGGCACTACATCACCGGCCCCAGCCCAAGCTCCGGCCCAGAAGCAGGTCACAGGAGCCATGGCAGACCTGTCCTTGCTCCAGGCTCCGTTGCAGCCAACTCAAGCTCAACCAACAGGTACATCTCAGCCTACTATCAGCATCCCTGCTCTACAGCCTCAACAAACGGCTGTTCAGTCTCCGGTGACAGTACAGCCCCAACCGACGGGTGCCACTCCGAATTTCTTCTCCCAAGTGGCGCAGATTGGACAGCAGCCGCAACAGGGCTTCAGTCCTCAGCAGACCGGGTTCCAGCAGTCGCAGCCAAGACAGCGCCCACAGCCTCCGCAGAACGTGGGTCAAAATTCAATCCTCCCTCCTCCTCCGCAGCGCCCGCTCTCGGCACCACAGAACTTCTCACAACAACCCGCCTCCTTCGGTCCAACTCCGCTGCAACCTCAACTGACCGGCTTTCCGCAGGCGGGCCCTCCAATCGCTCCTCCTGGCCAGAGTATGAACGAGCTGAACCAGCAACGCTTCCAACCGCAAATGCAGCCGCAACCAACTGGGTTCAACCAGTTCCAGAATGGAATGATGCCCCAACCAACAGGCTTCCAACCCCAATCACAGTTTGGGATCCAACAGCAGCAGCAACAGCAAGGTCCCTTTGCGAATGGCCAGCCAGGCCCCAACCAACCCGGATTCCAAGGGATGGCACCGCAGCCGACGGGCTTTGGCGGATATGCTCAGCCGCAGCAGCCGATGCAGACAGGAATCAACGCTACATTGCCGCCAGCATTGCAGCCGCAGCCCACCGGCGCGAATGGGTTCGGAAACACCTCTTATCAGATGTCTACACCTCCGGTCCCGCCAATTCCTCAACAACCGACCGCCACCCCCTTGTCGCCGCAGAAAACAGGACCCCCGCCCTCGGTCCGCTTTGGTGTTAAGCCGGACGCACCCAAGAAACTCGCGCCACAGCCAACAGGACTTAGAGCCAACCTTTCTCATGCTAGTAAGTTTTCTTTTCAGCCACTTAACAACCTCGATAACTAACTGATATACAGCTCCGCACAATCCGTTCGGATTCGATTAACTTTCTCTTGTGCTCTGGCTATAACTACCCTCCGTGATTTTCTGGAGCGATTGGGGCATAATTCCCTTGCTTTGCACTTACTTTGTCTTCGTTTCTTCTGATAGTCTCGGAGATCAGATCTTTACATATCGCAACCTGTGTTTCCCACCGTCGCGCTCTTGAAATTGTCTTTGCGTACATATCAACCATGCAACATCCACCCTACCCCATCCCTATTCATCTCACGCAGCGCGCATCTAGCAATGCCATGAGCCTCGTTATCATTGCAAAAGCCAGCCCAGCCCAGCCCCCTTTAGCGAGCCATCATCAATTTTTGTATCTATGTGTATGTTCCACAAACACACAGGATGAAGATGTCTCTCGTATCTTGCATTTTTTTTGCACTCTTTCCCCTTTTCTGTCTGCGTCATAATCCCATTAATGACATTTTCATCTTCCCTCTCTTAGAGTGTTTTGATGTCCCTGTCCCAAGCCCTCTTGCGCCATCTTCATTTCGTTTGTCTTGCTTGGACGGTCTGCTTTTGATGCCTGATGTTCATGTTTTTCTGTGTTAGCTGTTTCATACATAATTCTTTTTTTTTCTTTCCTTTCGATTCTGTCCTGCCCTCTATAATTAGCTATCTGTCGGATGATGTGTGAATGGTACATAGTTATAGGCCGTTGAATCGAGGGCGATCTTGTGTATTGAGCACGTCTAATATCGACACCCCTTGCAACTTTAGCCGGACAAAAAATAATACCAACTGTTGCTGAGATCGAAGCTTCACCGGATGTGCCTTCATGACACAAATTTTTGCTGTGGCGTCAACAACTAGTCCAATGGTGCTTTCAGATATCACCAATGGCAATCAACCCGATGGTACCTGCCGACAAACCCGCGTGCGGAAACGCAACCGCTAACTGATTGGTCAGCCTCGCCCCGAGCTCGGCATTCGGGCGAGCATAATTAACTACGGCGTGCCTTGGAATTATTAATACCGGCCGTCTATGATAAAGCCGGAAAAAGAAGTATCGCGTCATGATAACCGATATAACGGGGTCGCGATCCCTCTGGATCAATTTTTACCATCCATCACTCATCTGGTATCTACAATCTTCGACCGAAACGATTAGCCACTCTCTCTCATACGGAGCAACATGTCCGCCACCAAAGTTGCTCTTGTCGGGGTATATTCTTGTCCCCTGGATCCAAGCTTTATACTTCACTAACACATGCGATCAGGGCTCCGGGAACCTTGGTCCCGCCATCCTCTCTGAATTGTTGGGCGCTGGATTCGCCGTCACGGTTCTCACCAGACAAGACAGCAGCAAGACCTTTGACTCCAGAGCTCAAATTGCGAAAGTAGACTATGAATCTCTCGAATCGCTCAAAGCTGCTTTAGTCGGCCAGGATGTCGTGGTTAATACCCTCGGTGTGGGCGCCGTCCCCCGCGACATCCACTTGCGTCTCGTCGACGCTGCGGTGGCTGCAGGTGTCAAGCGCTTCCTCCCATCAGAGTACGGTTCCGATACGACCCACCCTAATACCGCGAAGCTCCCCGTCTTTGGAGACAAGGTTGCTGTTCAGGAACATCTCAAGAACGTCTCGCAGCAGTCCGGCCTTACTTATACAATTTTGGTCAATGGACCGTTCCTTGATTGGGGAATCAAGACAGGGTTCCTGCTGGATCTGTCTGGTCCTGTCGCTGCAATGTACGATGGCGGCGACCGAAAGTTCAGTGCCACCACTCTGAGAGGAGTCGGCAAAGCCGTGGTGGGAATCGTCAGCAATCTCTCCGCTACCAAAAATACCACTGTGTTTGTTCATGAAGCGACTGTGTCACAGAAGGAACTTCTGGCCTTGTCGGGTAAGACGCCTGAGACGAAGACTGTGCAAACGTCAGACCTGGAACAGGAAGCCTTCGCCGAGCTCCAAAAGCCGGAACCAAACCCTCACGTGTTCGCCTTCGGCTTCCTGCGGAGGGCTATTTTCGGGGAAGGGTTCGGGAGCCTGTTTGCTTCTGAGAATCTTTTTAATGATTTGTTTGGCATGAAGACTTTGTCTAAGGAGGAACTTCGGAGGCTCGTCGCCGACTGAGGTACTTGATTGATACACTAGCTTAGTTAACAAAGTGATGATTCTTTCGATATGGATTTTTTCTGCCCATGCGCAGATCCGTCAGGTGTGGAGCATTGATGTGGGCTACGGTACAATCTACCCCAAATCGAAGGTTTATTCCAACCTCCATCCACCACCGCAGAGGAGCTCGTGGGAGATGTAGCGGGGGGCATAGGTTATGGCATGCTATGTAATTGGTGTGCAGATAGATAGGCTGATTAGTCTAAAGGCGTTTTGGTTCATCAAAATGGGCCTGAAATAGAAAGTAGGTTACCTGCCAGTAGTTGAACGGGACGAAGAGAAACAGGGGATGGATAACCCTTGTCCAGGTTTACAACCCTTCTTTCAAAGACTAAGATGTTAGTATCTATCTAGTCTTGAGTATCTACAATAAACTCTTCACCCATCTCGATCTTTATATCGCTGCATGAAAGGGTGAAGCCGGTCTCCGTCGTTTGTTTATCTCGAGGAAAGATGCCGAGAGATGTCTCGAAACCCTAACTTGAGCGTCGCTTTCCTTTAGGACAGTTTGGTGCTGGACCTGCCAACCTTGATCTTCTGTGAAGAACAAGAAGCTGTACCGCTTCTAGTAGACGTAGGCTGTAGATCCCACTTCTCGACAGTAATCCTTCCACGAGCATGGGCTGTTAATGCAAGGACCATTTTGACTTGGCTGTTGGATTCACCAAGTCAGAAACCGATACCCTGTTCAGATTTGGGTCCTGGCTCAGACCACGAACTCCGAAGACGAAAGTTGGCCATCTTAAGTATCTTCCTAGTAGGCAGATGTGTTGGTGGCGTCTAGGATAAATCTGTTTGTTTGATCTTAGTTCCACCCGGCGTATGCTTGTGGTTGTAGGCGCGCAAGAGGAGTGTGCTTTATACGTCATCGTATGCTTCAAGTATCCTCCCAAATTCCAAACATGGGTAGATCTTCCGCCATGTACAGCAGACCGTTTTCAGGAAAGATCATATCAGACAGCGGAGACGGGCCACCGGGGGCAGGGAGTTGTCCTGCGCCGGGGGGGATTGTTCCACCAGGAGAGCAGTCGACGGGGATTCCGGAGGTGGTTAGCGCGGAGATGGCGGCATCATAAGAAAGAGCAGTTGCGTCCGCACCATTATACAGGGAATCCCAAACGTCGTTTCCGAGTGGAGGGACTTGTGGTGTTGGTTGGTTGGTGGCGACGAAAGAAGACGGGGGTCGCCGGGGAGTTTATCTGGGGACGCTTGAGAAGGTACAGTTGGCGGTTCGTGTTGTGGCTCAGGTTGCTGGTTGAGTGGGGGGATTTCACGATCAGAAGTAGAAGTCAAATTGTCGTTTCCAACTTGGCCGAACAATTGATCGACCTGTCTGCTGCGGCGCTCCATCCATTGACGATTGCGACGCTGAACGTACTCCGATACCGCGCCTCTTAGATACTTAATGATCTGGTAGAAACGACATGCATGTGGGTCGTGAGGAACAAAGTGACCAAGGAACTGCTCTGCCTTGTTCATGCCCTCTGCGAGAGGCAAGAGATTATCGTAATCGGCAAAGAAAGCGGCCCCGAGTACAATGGCTGAGTTGAAGACCGAATTGATCAAGAATGGCAATCGCCGAGGCAGAGCCGGGAATTGACTGAGGTCCTCTACCACGTCGAGGCCACGAAGAGCGGAGTAGACGCACGCATCTGCAAAAAGGGCAATACGAGAGCTGCCGCTTCGAGAGTCGGAAGTACTGGACGGGTCGGATTTGCTCTTGACATATTGAGCCACACGGTAGATCAAGAAGGGCCGCGTCAGTAGAATGATGGACCAATAGTAGGATCCAAAGACATGGGCAGCGGCTAGGCTTCCCTCCATGGTCTTGTGGTCGAGCTGTTCTGTTTGCATCTTGAGTACTGCAGGTAATGTCCGAACCCAAGCCCGATGTTGATTGGATATTGTTTCCGCGACAGTGATTGATATCACTTGCTTCATATACACGTCCGTAAGGATCCGTTCAAAGATCCGGCAGAGTGAGGTCACCGCGAGGGAGATCTGTTGCTCTGGGCTCATGTGTCGGTGTTTTTCTCCGGTAGCGAGCAGGTCGTCGCGAATATCATAGTCATAATCCGACGTCGCTGGAGGTCGGCCTAATGACGCGCTGAGGAATAGGTCCACCATGCGGAGACTTTTCCATACTCGCTCTCGGGCTCGCCGTTCGCGACCACAGAAGAGTGCATTCGCATCTTTGCGGTGAATTCCCACGGCATAGGCGGCTCGGAGAGCAATACCCAGGTTCATGAATGCGCCGTTGCGTCTACACGCGCCAAGCATATACATGGACACTAGGATGTATGATTGAATGGTGTGGATGCTGGGCGTTTCTTGAAAAGCGGAGAACGCCAGTTGGCGGCCGCTGCCAAAGTATTGCTCGGCCAATGTTTGGTTGGTATCGGAAACCTGCGCTCCGATGGCGAGAACCAGGTAGAAAATGGAGCTCACGGTATCTTCATCACCGGATGGATTTGCAACCCAGTTCGCCAAGCGGGGATGGAACTCTTCTAGGTCGAATAAATCTAGGAGAGGACTTGTGGCAAGTATGTACTGGCCGGCTAGCCGCTGAGCTTCGTCGTTTGGCGGAGGGTCAATGAGGTCACTGGGTTGGGTGCTTGGATTATTTTGGAAGGCCTCGAGCATGGAGTGTCGAGAGTTGTCCTCGGTGAATTCACACCGGCCAATTGAAGAAGAAACGACCCGGCGCACACTTTGCAGGAAAGACAGACTGGCCGAGTCGCCAATGTACATGAACTTGCCCTGACCATCACGGAGGAGTCGTGCGACTTTGGGCACTGGTGCGGTTCCTTCCTTTTCGTCTCTGACCTGCTGTTCCAAGTTCATTCCGCGGTCCTCAAGCGAGTTTAACAGACGATCCATCGCCGTCTCTCTCTGCGGCGAAGGTACTATCCGTTCACTGAGCAGCATTGTCGAGTCCTTAGTGTCGCCGCCGCCGGGCTTGAGCAAACGCGCGGGTATTTCGGAGAAGTGGCATTCCGCCTCCTTGTGTCGTTGGATGCATATTGTACAGGGGCATTCACCGTTGCATTTTTGTTTCCGCCGTTTACAGCTGTCACAGGCGCGTCGACACCGAAGCCGCGCTCCTGGCGCAGTGTTCGCTCGCGGCATCCCGGCAGAGAGGGGCTCTGCGGGGACGGGAGTGGTTCTCTCTCAACGGGGCGGAGGGTGTCAAGGTGTCATTGGAGATTTTCTGGAGGTTGGAGCCAGACCGACCGGCGGAGGATTGCGAAAACGAAGGCAGCACATGCCGGGAGATGTTCTCATGTGGGGAAATGACGAAGGAAATATTCCGGGGATGATTAAGCAGATCGTGCGTAACTTCAGTTAACTAACTTGACTACATTTGCTTTTTCTGACCCTGACTACCTGGTTCTACCTAGCGGAACGAGACTATCTTGCCAAACGTGTCTGCGGTGCCCCAGATCCCCGCCCGGAGGCATGTCAACTGCACAATCTGGCTATGGTCCACAAACAGGTTCACGTCGATGCCAAACTCGCGGATGTACCAGTTGTACACTTTGGGGTCCGCCGCTTCGAACATGACATTCTCCGGGGGAGCTCCTTCATGATCTTCGACACTACGTCCGTCCGCCATGAGCTCACGTTCTCCGTGATGCCCTCCGACTCAATCATCAACCGCTTCACGCCGGCATCGAGGAACTTGTGGCCCAGATTGACCAGCTTTCCGGGATCAGAGGTTCCAATGGCTTCCAGGCCCGAGGCTGGGGTATCACCACCAGCTCCAAACTGGATGCCCAGTTCCGGCTTGGGGTCGAGCTTGTACGAATGGACCTTGTCGACCAGTCGAAGCCAGTCATCCTCGGGGATCGACAGGAATCCAGAAGAGAGCTCGATGACATCGAACCCGAGGTCCTTGCACTTACTCAGGTAGCGGTCAAAGACGGTATTCGCATCAGGGTGTGTGAGCAGATGCTCGGCCCAGCCTCCCTATCACTCTGTCAGCATGTAACCAAAGCGAGTCTTGGAGCAAGTGGCATACATACGGTCGAAACATATACACCATGGTCGTGGGCTAGATCAATTAATTCGCGCAAAGGCTTCTCCGGGAACAAGGAGAAGGAACCTGGTCTTGGAATGAGTACTCGCCGTCTTCAAGTGTGCACCGTACCAACCTCCAGCAAATTTCAGACCGTCCACATGATTACCCATCCTATATGTCTCAGTCAGATGCTGTTATACCTGCTGACCATGGAGAACATTACGTTTCGAGAATATCTGCGAGATAGCGCTTCCCCATGGCCTTGACTAATATCAGTTTCTGCATTATGGGGAGAATGAGAGTGAATCAATACATACCGTGTAGTACGGACCCCGGATCTCTGTCACGCCCTTGCTTCTTGGTTTATCTGGCCTTGGATTAGACCTTGCAAACCCGAAGCCATTCTCCTTGTCCTGTAATAGGGTCACTCCCTGCCGCACAGGCACCGTGGTCGATAGCCTTCTGACTCCGCCAGGGATGGCCTGCTGGGGGACAGATCCAAGACGAAACTTTGTAAGGAACATGATTAAGATATAGTAGTCGATTGAAGGGCTTAAAAACAGCAGACTCCATTTAAATATCTCCGTTCCCCAGATTGTGCAGGGGTTGACGTCAAGTATACTTCATCAACGGATGAGTAAGGATGCAGATCCCAAACTTAATCGATTGACGTTGAACATACTTCATAGCAACAGACCGTGAAACAATTATCTTCTCACCTTTAGACAAGCTATTTATACTAGGGCATCGATCCAATAAAGACTCACGCAAGAGAGCCGAGCGCCGCAGCCGAGACCGGCGAATCCCGCGCTAACCCTAATAAAAACCCCTTGGCATAGGGGGTCGGACGAGAAATCAATTCTAGGCACATCACCGACTCCATTATTTTCTAAATAAGACGCTTGTGCACCTCGGATAATGTACACACGTAGGGTAGTGACCCACGTGGCGCCAACATACCAGGGGGTTTCAATATTGCCTGAATTGGCGTACTTGTTTCTATCCAGATCTCGACCCGAGTTCTTGGGGCCAAATATAAAGGAATGCTGATACATAAAGCAGAGGGTGCACTGTGTTCTTTCTGAACCCTCGCGCGCTAGACTGGCTTTGTGAAAGATGCTTCCACCGTCGACCGCACTGTTGGATGGCAGGCCTTCACTGAGGGAACGACATTGGAATTCGTGAATGGGACGACTGTCAAGCATATTACAGGAGATATTCCAGATGAAGGATGTTGACGTTTATCCCTCTCATTCATAATGTATTAATTGTTGTTGTTGAATCAAACATTACCCTGCCTTGCTGGCTCCTGCCTTGCCCAGCGCAACCTCCGGGCACCTTCACTGATCCAGATATGCTTCGTTGCCTTCCAAAAGTTCTTCCTTCGCATTATTACTCTCCATACTCTGCTCGTCACCATGAGCTTCATTTGAAACCCCCCTGCCGGTTACCATCTTGTTCATTCTAGAACTCACCATGGGAGTTGGCGCGATCGTAGAGCCCTTGGTGGTCATCGTCCTTCTCTTCGGAGGCACCTGGATCAACCGCGTCACCGGGTACTTACCTTCTCGACGGAACTCTATCAGTTACGTGCCAGAAGACTTCCTTGAATCGGGAAACCCCAGCCCGACTTCGAAAGATGCGCTTTTGAGCCCTCGATCTCGATCTCCACTGTCTGAAGACCCAGGCGAAGGATGGCGCCAGCGAAAGATCGCGGTGCTGGGCATGACCTGTGAAGTGACGACTCCCAACACGGCCATTTTCCGTGACCGACTGCTCAGCCAGGTGCTCTGGAGGTTTCCCTTCTTGGTGGAATGCTGGTACTGGGGCTTGGTATACTGGGTATGTCAAATGGTTTCCTTTCATGAGAACCAAAGGCTCACATGTTTGCAGACATACCAGATGGGCCGCGCATTTACCGCTCTCACTCTCCAAAAAGGCACCGTTGTTGTTGCCAGACAGCATGCATTTCAGCTGATAAGGATCGAGGAAAGTCTAGGCATGTTCTGGGAGGTTGGAATCCAGAAGCACTTTCTCCGCCATGCTCATTTGATGGTGGGCATCAACTGGATCTACTCTTTCATTCACATTCCGGGGACCATTGCCTTTCTCGTCTGGCTCTATTACTACACCACCACCCGCAACCGCATCGACGACTTTCAACCGGGGAAGCCTTCTGGCTTTCTTAGCGAATCGCCAGCCGGGCCGCTCCTGTATCAAGAACGACGACGAACCCTGGCTGTATGCAACCTACTCGCATTTGTGATGTTTACACTGTGGCCGTGCATGCCTCCCCGTCTGCTGAGTGACCCAAATGTGGAGGGCAAAGAGGGAGAACTGGCTCGGAGTTATGGCTTTGTCGATACGGTTCATGGCGCCAATGGCATGGGCAGTGTGTGGACAGCGAACCAGTTTTGCAACCAATACGGTGAGTTCTTCTGGTATGTCCACTATGAGAAGGTGTGGGCTCAGATTTTATAGCTGCGATGCCGTCCTTGCACTTTGGCTACTCTCTGATGATCGGACTCACCATCATGACGATTCCTCTTCCACCACACCATCAGCGTTCCATCGTGCGAACTCGCCGGGCGCGCACCATTGGACTGCCAGTGCCATCATGGCGTCGTCTTCTCTGTCTTGTGCTCGGCTTCCTCTATCCCTTCATCATCCTAGTGGCCATCGTGGCGACAGCCAATCATTTCATCCTCGACGCTGTTGTCGGAGCTTTGGTCTGCATCCTGGCGCGGTGGTGCAATGGGATCCTATTGAACCTGTTGCCTCTGGAGGATTACTTTCTGTGCCTGGTTCGGATTCACAAACCGGAGCCGTTGCACTGCAAGGTCATTGATGAGGACGATGATGTTGACCGAGACGTTGACGAGGCCACACTGGCCCATGCTGTCGTTCCACCTTGACTGGGTGGCTATTTGTTATGGATTACACCGCGTGTGTCCATCTTTATTCCTATGAGTACTTTCCTCTGGTCCCGCGCATTATCATTAGGGAGTGTGTACAATAATGGGACGATAGTTAACCCTAACCTTGACCTTGATCATATTAGGCTCGAGCTTGGCATCACGCACGTCATGGTGATCGACTCTACTATTGACTAACAAGTAGCTAGTCACATCAAGTAGTATAATAACCATGGAGAGTAAGTAGACGCCCTCTCGGACACTCCTACATAACTCCCATACAGGAGTGTAGCTCAAGTGGGCCCCGAGTGGCGTGGCGCACCAACCATCGCGTGCTTCCCGCCCGTCGCGCTTCTTCCTTCTCCACACTCTCTCTTCCTCTTCCACCTTGACCTCATCATCACCCACTCCTCCCACCTCCAACCCCCTCCCGCCAACTCCCCGACACTTGCCCACTCTTGTCATCAATTCCTCTCTTCCATTGATTCCTGCTGTTTACTCCCTCCAATCATGGCCGAGGATACCCCTGTTGCTGTGCCCACCGCCGAGGCTGGTGCGCAGCCTGAGCGCGCCCCGGCCACCGAGACACCTCATGAGAAGTCGCCCGAGACTGCGACGGGTACCAAGCCTGCCGGTAAGTCTGAATGTACTTCAAGCTTTGAATCTTTCTTCCGATTGCCGGTGGGACGCACAACTGCTCCCATGCCGGTGATTGTGCCATCCAGAAATGCTGACCTTGCTCTTCCCGTCCCAGCGCCTGCCTCCGAGGAGAAGAAAGATACCGAGACCCCCGCCGAGAAGCCAGCTGCTGCTGATGGGCCGTCCGACACAAAGGGCGAGGGCGCTCAAGCTGCGGACGCGCAGGCCAACGGCACCCCCTCGGCGAAGAAGTCCTCCAAGGACCGTCGCCGTTCCAGCGGAGTGGCGGGCGGCAACTCCAAGCTGAGTCGCAAGAAGTCTCAAAGCAAAATTACCAACATCAACGCGAAGCCCGGCGAGTACTACCTGGCGCGCCTGCGTAGCTACGCGCCATGGCCCGCGATTGTCTGTGACGAGGTCATGCTTCCGCAGAGCCTGCTGCAGACCCGTCCTGTCACTGCCATGCAGCCTGATGGGACCTACAAGGGCGATTTTGTCGATGGAGGCAAGCGGACCCATGACCGGACGTTCCCTGTGATGTTTTTTGAGACCAACGAATTGTGAGTGATCGCACCCCCCTTGAGGATCTACTACAGCTTTACGCGGTCGGGAGCTCAATACTGACGCCTTTTCTTCCGCTAGTGCCTGGATCCCCAACACTCAGCTGACCCCCTTGGACCCGGCCGAGTGCAAGGACGTTTCGGAGAAGGGCAAGTCCAAGCCACTCATCGCCGCTTACAAGATTGCCGCCGAGGGCCACGACCTTGAATACTTCAAGAGTCTTCTGGCTGATCACCAGGCTGCTCTGCAGCAGGAGATCGACGAGCGGGAGGCCCAGGAAGCCGCCAAGGCCGCGGCCAAGGCAGAGAAGGCCAAGAAGAGCAAGCGGAAGAGCAAGGGTGCCGACACTGATGTTGACATGGAAGACGCGGACAAGAAGAGCTCGAAGAAGCGAAAGAAGGATGCCGAGACGGATGGCGAGAGCAAGGTGAGTACCCCAAATTCTGCTGCCCGGCTGCCCTGACATTAATCCCCTACCATTTTTCCAGCCCTCCAAGACCCCCAAGACTAGCACTAAGCTGAAATTGACCTCCCCGAAGGCCCCTGGAGATGAGAAGAAGACTCCTGCGAGCAAATCCAAGAAGGCATCAGCTCCCAAGAAGGGCAAGACTGCCAGCGATGAGCCTGCACCGGAGCCCGAAAAGCCCATCGATCCAGAGGAATTGAAGAAGAAGAAGGAGCGCGAGGGTACGTTACCCTCTACTCTGATGAGATGCAATGGCTGACTCTATCTTAGTTCTTCTCCTTCGCCACAAGCTCCAAAAGGGATTCATTTCGCGTGACGCACCGCCCAAGGAAGAGGAGATGGAGACAATGGCTACTTTCTTCGACAAGCTTGAGAAGTACACCGATCTGGAGGTTTCGATCATCCGGACCACGAAGATCAACAAGGTCTTGAAGATGATCGTCAGGCTCAACTCGATTCCCCGGGATGAGGATTTCAAATTCCGTCGCCGTGCTATGGACATTCTGAGCAGCTGGAAGAATGTGTTGGACAGTGATATTCCCACGGAGTCGACTGGCAAGGATTCACTGCCACCGGCCAACGGTGCCCCCAAGGATGACGAGGGCACCCCCAAGATCGAGAGTGAAGAGAAGGAACCCGAGACTAAGCCGGCCAAGGAGGATGCTGTGGATACCCCGATGCCGGACGCTGGTGCCGATAAAGCACCTGCAGAGGAGAAAGCAGTGCCGACGGAGGGCGAGACCAAGCCTACGGAAGACAAGCCAACTGAAGAGAAGACCACGGAAGCTACTGCATAAGCGAATCTTCAAGAGCTTGCTCTGCTCCGTTCTGTTCTGATTACGTTTGCGACACTTATGCCCTCCAATCTTCTCTCTGTTCAGTTCTTCTCTTTGTTTTGATATTCCACCTTTGTTGCTGAATTGCCTTACTCGGACCTTGGGGTGGGCGTAATCCAACAAGTCTCGTTTCTCTGGTCTTTCCTCTGGTCTTTTCTGGTTGTGTGTGTACATTTTCACCTCTGTCTGGCCATTTTTTGCGGAAGTCCACATCGGCACCCACTCTGGCGATCCCAACCACGCGCGGTCTAGTCTTTTTCCTTTTGATTCTGATACGTTATTTGAATTGTGTTGAGGGAGGGAGTGAAGCCCTTTGGACCTATGGAAGAAAAATTGCCTGTTGTTAGAGATAGTGATGCGTGATGAAGGAGAAGGTCTGTCCGTACGTTTCTGTCTGGTCTATCTATGGGAGATGGTGCAAAAGTGGGAGGAAGGGATTTTTGTGTTTTCTAGCACGGGTAAGTTTCTTGATTTGAATGTTGAACTGAGTACAGTGTTCTATTTTAAGCCCATGCCCGTAGATGTCTGAGGATATGTAAAGGGATAATGATCAATGTAGACCATCAGCTCAATACAAAGAGACAGCAGTAGGAGTGAGATGCTGTCTGCCCAAGAACAGAAAATGATATGTCGCTTATATTCGAATCCTTGTACGTGATCCCGTAGGTAAGTGAGACATCCATCGCGAGTATTCAATTCGTGTGCTAGCGAATATGTCTTGGAAGACTGGATCCGCCTAAAAGTCGCATTAGAACCCGTGAGAGGTTTCTTCAACTTGGCCTGTGCTGCACTGATGTTAGGTCTCCCATTCGTAGCCGAAGATTCACGTTTTCTTTAGGCCGATCGCCGTTGCCCTGGTGGAAGATTGCCAAGCGCAGCGATCAGCCGCCGTCCGAAGTCGCGGACTCTTCAAAGTTACGCAATTCTAAACGTTTTCGACCTAATAGCCTATTTTCGATGAAACTCTATTTATATCTCTAAAAGTAGAATCCTTTCTAGTCAACTAAATATATTAGTCCTTTCGTACGTTAATTTGGTAGAGCAGATATTGGCCCATGGCCAGAGCTCTTCTGATTCAAGCCCTTCTTGGCAATAAACCTTCATATACCTCCCATTGGTCATCTATATCAAACCCACCGGCGCTCATATCATCGCCACCTTCTATTCTGTAGACGCAAATATGAGTCACCGTAAAGCCTGCCTCGGTGCCTTCGTTTGATTTCTCGCTCGAAGCCTCACTATTTTCATTATTCCTGATCGCATCCTCGTACCCACCTCCGCTCCAATCGGCGGCGGCGGCCTTGTTCTGGACAAGTTTAGCCTGTCTAGTGACTGGGTCAATTTCCAAGCCGACTTTTGACCCATCTAGGTCGCCTATCCAGTAATGTGCGGCTAGATCTTTAAGGTTGCCTGTCATAGATCCATATGCTAACGGTCGAGAGATTCTGTCCGCTCCGTTCCACCGGTGTACTCTGAAACTTGGTTGAAGCTGGAACAAAAGCTGTGGTGGGCCGAGCTTGAATTCTCCAGTTTTCTTGGATATATCTTCTTCTTCGGTACTCTGTCTTCTGGAAGTGCCAGGGAAAAATGCGCCCATGACTTCTGGTAACTGGCTCTGGGCTTGATCCCCAAGGAAAAGAAGAAGGTGAGGCCGATGGTCGGAATCTCTTTCAGCAATACTCTGAATGATATGAGTGAGAGCGACGCTGTCATCTAATTCCTGAGCTGACGACTGATATATTGTTCTAAAGGAGAATGGTCTGAATCTTTGTGCAAGTTCACGTTTTCCATGGGCCTCATATGGTGGCACGAACAATGATACTGAGCGTAGGATGTCGCTCATAGTGGAATCCGGCAGCGACTCTGTTCCAAATGCTAAACTGGCCTCAGGGATAGGAGGTTGGAAGATGATTGCCCATAGTTGATGGAAACGCTGCTCGAGATTTGGCTAGTGGCAGAAATGAGTTAGTTGTTTGATCGCACGTATAGAATATAGCCAATAAACTCATCCTTACCAAGATATCTAAGCCTCGAGTCATCGAATCGAGCGTTAAGAAACCTTCCCGATCAGGCCGGAATGGTTGGACTAGTATATCCACGAGCTCCATTTTCTGAGGGCTGGAATTCTCAAGCGAGCCGTAGTGAAAACATTGCTGACCCCAGGTCAATTTATAAAGCCTCATCCTGTTTAGTAGACCGGTCAGAGTGGTCAGGTCTTTGATATGTACCTGATACTGAGGATTTGCGCCTTTGAGGAGACGTTGCGCTGGCAGCTTCAGTGTATTTGCGCCTAGGTTTCCTTTGACAGGATTGGGTTGCGCCGAGGCCAAAACATCCATCACATCCTCATCTATGAATGGAGAGCCAAGAGAACTTTGGTTCGGCCGATGGCTGACCCGACCGATACTTCGGAAGATTCGGTCGACGTTGGATCTACATATATAGAGCCTGCCGTATGTGGACGCCCGGTAGTGATGCCCACGCGTAGTTCCTAGGAACTCTGTGCCTTTAAAAGCAAGCAAAATTATGGCACGCTCAAATGCGGGTCGTTCTATTTTCCCGTTATCAGCACCATGGCGTGGGAATGGGTGAAACGCGTAGAAATAGAAGCATGACCACAAAACGTCGATGGCTGTGTCCGGGATGGTAGTGTCCGGGTGTGCTTTTGCGATGTGATCCCGAAGGCTTTCTTTTGTCCAATCTGGGCGATCATCTCATAAGCCAAGGTCTTTCATAGCAATCGTTTTTCTGCAGGCGGGTGTCTCTTACGAGGCTGCTCGTTGGGCGAGTCCTGGACGCTACACGCGTCGAATATCGCCTGAAGTGCGTTCCCCCCAGCTCCATACTGTACCAGATAATCACGTAAGTCGTCGAGGACGACGGCTAAGTAAATACAGTCAGGTTTGTTGCGCAATGAACCGAGCCAGGCGACATACCTGGCGTGACTGTACGAAGATAGTTGGCAAGGTCCCTCTCTGCTGGTCCATAGGCAGCGTTGTAAGCGATCTTGCGCAAACAAGAACCCATGGTTAATTCTTCCCTCAACTGAAGATGTGGTAGAAGATCATGATGGGAAATGACATTTACTTGGTATTTTGGGGCGATAGAGTGGTCACTCTAGCTTTGGCATTAGTAATTTGGCATCCATCCCAGCCGTCATTTGACTTTTGGCCCCAAGTTTCCCAGGTCAACAAGATGTAACAAGTCGCATACATCCCAGCACTCACTGGCTTTCGGCCCGCAATTTCTTGGGTCAGCACGGCTCAGTCAAGTGGAATACATAATAACCGGGCCTTACATTAATTACATAAAAAAAAACAGGCCCTCGTAAACGAGTATTGAAGCGATTTTTTGTTGATGGGAGAAATACGAGAGATGCAAAGATGTAGATGTTGCACAGTAATATTGCTGTCTGCCTCGCCTATAAATCCCTGCTGGTCACAGCACATACCGGCTTTTGCTATCTTCTCCCCTCTTCCTTCAACCTCCCACCAATTTTCAGCACCACTCCCTGCGCCATTAATGGCGTCTACCGAGGCTACTGATGACCAGGCTGCGGGGGAAAGCTCTGTCGTTTCCCCCACGCGCCAACCTACTAACGTTTCCGGCAAATCCAATGGGTCAGGCAATAGCGAGGAACCTCTGGCTAAATACGACTTCGACCAATGCGTCGCGGCAATGAAGGGGCAAAAAGTCCCGGTCGATTTAAGCTCTTTTTGGCATCGGAGAGCAGTCATCCGCGGGATTCGAATTTCACTCAAGTTTGCAACAAGCCCGGCAGTCATCGAGCTATGCTCCGGCGACGATAGTTGGGCTCATCAGTTTTCGCGCGCCCGCAATGCCCGCCTGATAATGAGTGACATAATCCCCGATATGCAAGACCCTGTCACCCAGCCATACTGCATTTGGTATCCAGAACCTGCATCGGAAGAAACCTACCGTGAGGTCGCCCGTCGATATCCATCTATGCGGTATCAAGTCGGCCGAGCATGTGCTGCTGCGTGGTATACCGACCTTTACCAAGAATTGGATCTCCTGCCGGACGTATCCATTGCTGAAGAAGCCCGCGAAGTTGACGAAGATGCCGACATCTACAAGATTATCATGTCGGCCCCTCAAAGATACGCTGTCATGGACGATTTCACTCGATCTGTTAATTTTGAAAGTCCACAAACACCCGCGTTTTTGAATGGCAATATGAAGCCCCGACGGGCTTTGGGACAGCGTGCTCTCCCTCCCAAAAATTTGCCAGACACGACTGCAGATGACATTGACATTGAGGAAGATGGATTCATTGGCTTGGAAAGTCTCGGCTTAGAGGATTGCGATGCCAAATTTGGCCCAGGAGATTCCGAGCAATTGTGGATGCCTCTTCCGCCTGACCTTCCAGTTCTTGAGAAACGCCTTCAAACGCAAATGGCCGCGTGGGATGGCAATGTAGATAGATACGCTCGATTAATGCACCCACGCAGGCTCAGAACCGAGATTGAATACAATTGTATTCTTCGTGGAATTTATCACAATACAGCTTTCGCCAGATGGTGGGCCTATCAGCTGGAAACCCACCCCGGACGAATCATCCTCCCGGGTAAATTGCTTAGCGAAGGCAACAAGCGCGAGTGTCGGGAGATTCGCACCGCGATCAATGCTCGCAAAATAATGAACAATGAGATCTCTGGCATTGACGATGGCTCGGATTGCCTCCCCTGGCTTATCTGGTGGCCGGTGAAGCCTCAACATAGCACTTGTGATGAGCTGGCTCGAAAGTGTCCGTCCATGAGACACCAAATTGCGATCACTTGTGTGATCTGTGACTATGAAGAACTATTCCAACAGTTGAAGCCCCCTCCTCTCGAATCCTTGTTCGTGGCTGCTAAACGAAGCGAAAACCCATTCTACCTAAAATACCTAGAGGAATGTGCAGGAGGGCGTTCCATCGAAGACCCCGAAATTTCAGACTTCAATGACTTTGATGCAATAGAATCAAGTTTGAAGATTGATTTGGAGCCCAGAAATTCTGACGCTTATACCTCTATCGAATTTTCTCATATATATGTCCCTTGGGGGGAACCTCCCAGAGACTACTCGGGATCCCCTCCCGGTATCTATGGGGGCCTGCCTGCGCAAGCGGGAAGTGTAGAGAGATACATGTGGCTGTCGCCTGAAACTGGACAGAAGATTAAAGATGAATTTCACGGGGTCTACCAGTCAGCGGATACTGACCTCTTGCATTTTGATAGAGATTTGGATGATGAAATTTGGCTGAGGGCTTCACGTCCTCCACCGCCTATGACGTGAAATAGGATGCAAATTTCGATATACATGAATACAGGATCTCAACCCTTGGATTGCTTCAAACAACCGCCGGCCTAATATAGCCTTTTGAATAAAGCCTGTATGGCGAAATTTCAGTTGGAAAGTTCATCCGACCAGATGGATCACGGCGCTCAGGGCCGTGCTCAGTTCTACTCAGGGAGCAAGCAGTGAGCACTAAGACGGAAAGAGCAAGTCACGGGCGCCAGTTATTATCCTGTATGTATGTACTAAAGCTCTATCATGAATATACCGAGCCTGCTAGCTTTGGAAGAGCCAGTTGCTGTTGTTGGTATTTTTTTGTTTCCTACTATATTGTTTTAGAGGACAAAAATATCCAACGTAGCACCGATGACGCAGGGGTTAGCGTGTGGATTTGCAGTGTCCGAAGTCGGGCGTTCAAATCGCCCTCGGTGCTTTTTTTTTTTTTTTTTTTTTTTCTCCTCCCACCCAACGTGCTTATTTTCCAAAAGGCTCACTCAAGTGATGTCTTCTAGATTAATTTCTAATTATGAGAGACTCATATACGAGACGAAAATAATCTCGAATTGTCTTTACTCTACAGTGATAAAGCGTAATGTAAGGTAAATATCATCAATATACATAAGTTAGGCTTTTCTATAACAACCAAATCTAAGCCATAGAGTAGAACTCTTCTATATATGAGTCTTGCGACATGGCATATTATTACTGGTCTTTCTCTTCTGGAGCCAGACTCTCATCCACTGCGAGGATGACCAAGACGGAGATGTCATCCACCTTGCCGCCACGATAATGGTCTCCGGGATAGAACCGCTGGGCCTCCTTGGCGAAAGGCCCATCACGACGATAGTCAACGCTAGCCATCTTGGCCTCGCCGGCTATGCTAGCTGCGAGGAGAGATTGAAGCGTGAGAGTATTCTCGGGACGGATAGCCGGGTCGGCAGATTCAGATGGCGGAGGAAACGCAGCCGCCAGTCCGCCTGGAGCAGCTAGAGAGCACAGGTTATCCGCAACGCTGATGCCCAGCTCGGGCGTGGTTGTCCAAGCTCCAGTCAGAACCATGCGGCTGGTGACCAGTTTGAGGATGTCTTGGTTGTTGAGATTGTCGAACACGCCGTCCGTGGCAAGCAGTAGCACATCGCCGTGCTGCATTTGGATGTTGGTGACGGCGGCGTCGCGCGGGAAGTCCTCGAGGAAAGAACCCCCGAAGATCGAGGCTTGTGCGCGCATGCGTGGCGGGATGATACTCAGCTGGTAGGGTGTGTTGAACCCGTGCGTCTGCGGGACGGAATAGTGGTGCACTGCCGCCAGCCGAAGGAGCACTGAGCCCGAGTCTCCCAAGTTCGCCAGTTCGACACGGCCGTCGGGGAGACCTACGCCCACGGAAGCAGTACTGCCACCAGCGCGAATGCTGGGATCCGCTACCACTTGGTCATACCCGGCCTGTAGCAGCTGTTTAGGCCGCAGTTTGTGGGCGGGCTCGTCCCACGCCATAGCTGTGTGGGCCATGTAGCCACATAGACCATGTGAAAAATCCGCTGGATCAACGCGCGACTCGGTCCAGCCGCCGACACCGTCTGCTACCGCGAAGGCGATCGCGTCCGCGCCTTCTTGTCTCTGTTGTTCGGAATGCCGCGACCCGATGCGGCTCACAAAGAAGGCATCTTCGCCGCTATCTGGTCGGTGACGCCGCCGGTTGGCGGGGCTTTTGTCTAATGTGAGAACGCCTAGTGCATCGGGGGCGTTGGGGTCGAAGTTATATGCATTCTTGAGAGGGTGAAAGCGGCGGCCTTTGCCGGATGAGGACACAGCAACACGGTAGGAAAGTCGCGAGGATGAGGACGAGGACGGCGCATCGGAGGAGTGACGTCCCGGTGTTGAGTGAAAGGCTCTGCGCGCAGTCGCAGCAGCAACAGCGCGATGCTTCAGGCTAGACCCGGGAGGCCGAGCTAGGGAGAGGAAGAGAGACGTGGCGGATGCCGAGAACACCCCGGTCCGGAGGCTGCAGCAGGCGGGACTGCACCGGCACGAAACGCTTGCGAGCATCGCAGGCCCAGTCCCGGTCGTGGACACCCTCCCTATTTATGATAAATGCGGGAGCATGGGAGGGCCAGATAGGAAAGGATTAAAAGTCAAAAGGTCAAGGCCTGCGCGAGTAGCCGGATTAGATGAACCCGCTCTGATCGACGGTGCTGCCACCTATGTTCGGTTTGGCCAGGAGGGGGGATAATAACAATAATGAGCCGCAAGTGAAAGAAGACAACAAGAAGAGGGAGCTTGGTCCCAAGGGAGATAAGTAGAGGATAACGGACGGCCGATAAAGAAGAGAAGTTCGCAGCTTATCAAGTTCTGCCGCCGCCTCTTCTTCTTCTTCCTCCACCACCACCCTCCCACTCCTTTTGCTCTGCCACGGGGCAGCGCAAGCTTCTGAGCTTCGCCCAAGATGATGCACCCCTCCAGACATGCCTACATCGAGGAGGCTGAGGACACCGACATGGGAATCGACTTGGCCAACATCCCAGTCGACCAAGACTATGAGCTCCCTGCTTCAGCAGCAGGCATTCCCGCTGAGCGCGCGTCCGCCATTCTATCCCAATTCGAGCGGAAACGGCGAGCAGCCGCTACAGTAGTCCCGACAGATGATGCCCGCGTGCGCGCACGGTTACGAGAGTTCGGCGAGCCCATCACACTCTTTGGCGAAGGCCCTGCAGACCGACGAGACCGTTTACGCGAATTGTTGACTGATCTGGCGGAACGGCAAGCGGGCGAAGATGATGTACAAATGGAAGAAGCAGAGGGGGAACCGGAGGAGGAAGAACAACAGGAGTTTTACACATTGGGCACAGATGAATTGTTGGAGGCGCGCAAGGCGATTGCTCGTTTTTCTTTGCCGCGCGCCAAGGCTCGTGTCGCTCAACTGAAGGAAGATTCAACGATTCCGCTACGAACGCATGTGAAGTACCGGAAAGCGATCAAGGAGAAGCTACAGGGATTCGAGCTGTATGGGTCTCAGATTGCAGGGGATCGGCCTGTCAGTATCTGCCGGTTCGCGCCGGATGGGCAGACTGTTGCTGCTGGAAATTGGGCCGGTGGGATCAAGCTTCTCACCGTACCGAACCTGGAGGAGAAAGCCAACTTCAAGGGCCACACCGATCGCGTCGGAGGTCTGTCATGGTTTCCCGGGGCGACTCTACCCAGCTCCAACATCTCTCCATCGTCTGTGAATTTGATCTCGGGAGGCGGAGAGGGGAACGTGAATCTCTGGGCTCTCGACCAAGAAAAGCCGCTCGCCACGCTGTCCGGGCATTCTGGGCGCGTTTGCCGTGTGGATGTGCATCCATCCGGACGGTATGCAGCATCCGCATCTTTCGACACCACCTGGCGGTTGTGGGATGTTGAAACAACGGCCGAATTGCTTCTACAAGAGGGTCATTCTAGAGAGGTGTACGCAGTATCGTTCAACAATGACGGTTCGTTACTAGCAAGTGGTGGCCTCGACAGCATTGGGCGGATCTGGGATCTTCGGACGGGGCGCACCGTGATGATCCTAGAGGGCCATATCGGCGAGATCTACGGATTGGACTGGGGCGTGGATGGCTACCGAATTCTCTCCGGCTCAGCAGACGGCTGGGTGAAATGCTGGGATCTTCGACAAGTACGGAATATGGGAGGTATTGGCGCGCACAAGAGCGTCGTCTCCGATGTGCGCTGGTACAAGGGCACCGAATCGGCGGCTGCTTCGCATCTGCCGTCGGCCGATGGGAATGGCCAGATGGAGATTGACGGCGCTGCTCCGGCTGAACAATCCTCGGCCGTTCAACCCAGGAGATCCGGCACGTTCTTTGCGACCAGCGGGTTCGACAAGAATGTGAACATCTTCAGCGCGGACGATTGGTCGCTCGTCAAGACGCTGAGCGGGCACTCGGGCAACGTGCTCAGTACAGATATCAGTAACGATGCCAAGTGGATTGCCAGCTGTGGTCATGACCGCACAGTGAAGCTCTGGGGCATTGACTGATCCCTCAAAAGATTTCTAATATCAAAACAAGCTTAATTCTACCTACCCTCTCGTTTTCCATGAATATAAGATTCCTATCTCTATGGATTGTTGATGGCCTCTCATTTTGGACATTACCAAATGTTCGGGATAATTTCAGAATATGCTAGAAGTCAGAACGGGTAGCCCACTGTAAATACAGTCCCAACTTTCATATTCAGTCGCATAACAGTGGTAGTCACGTGCAGAATACAGGGGATGACGTAAAGGTCTTTTCTGTTTTCTCTTCTCTTCTCTTCTCAACCTCGACCAAGATGGCAGTCGCTCTCCGACAAGGTGCTGTGAGGCAGTTCTGCCGACGACCCATATCCGGCCACATCTCCACGTCAACACGGCCAGTCTCTCAGCTGAACGGCCAGTCCGAAGCGTGCGTGTTGTGCCGATACCGAGTTCAACCCGCGCAAACACAGCCTTTTTCTACGCCACAGCCTACAATACTCCGTCGCTATGCCTCTACGAAGACTGCCTCCGCAGAAAATCAGCGCGAACAAGCACCAATCACTGGCGCCCCAGATATAACCAACTACTACACCATCTTCCCAAAGACCATTCCGAAGGGCCCACCCCCAGAATCACCCTTCGAAATCTCTCTAGCCGATCTCCGCCGCGAGTTCCTCCAACTCCAGAATGTTATCCACCCGGACAAGTACCCGGCGGGTACTGTAAAGCAACACGCCGAAGCCCTCTCAGCGCGCATTAACGAAGCATACCGCACGCTCGCCGACCCGCTCCAGCGCGCACAGTATCTGCTCCGTGAGTGGCACGGCATCGACGTGACGGCTGAGGACGCAGCCACAAAGCACGCGCTGGACGCTGAAACTCTGATGGAGGTCATGGAGGTGCAGGAGACCATTGAGGAAGTGGGTGCATCGCCGGAAGCGGAGGCAGATATCAATGCACTGAAGGAGGAAAATGAAGCGCGGATTTTGGGTTGCATTGGGGCCTTGGCGAGGGCTTTTGACGGTGGCGACCTTGAAGGAGCGAGGCGGGAGTGTATCAGGCTGAGGTTCTGGTACAGTGTCGGTGAGGGACTTAGGGAATGGGAGCCGGGGAATACGGAGATTCGGCTAGTGCATAATTCCTAATTGTGGGGAGTACCCCAATAGGTATTATTGTGTATATTTGTAGTTATAGTTCTTTGACAGTACATACTCCAATCCAATCATCTATAGACTACTACTTACAACCTGGTCCTGTTCTTGCGGTTTAGCCTAAACATCGGAAGCCGAAATCATGGCGATAAGAAGTATTGCCCATTGAAAAAAAAAGTGAAGCATCCGTCCCACCGATCAGGCCGATCATCCAAAGTGAGGCACGTTGGGCATGATCAGGTGGAAACCCGCCGAACACGTAGCAGACCAATGACGAAGCCAATCATCTCCGAATATATAGGTCTTATTACATGCTCTGAGAATGAAAGCAATATATCCTCACCGGCAATTTCAGCCATGGGATCTCCTCAAGATTATAGCCGGTGTGTACTGACCGACTTTCTCCTCTCCGTACCTACTGGAACCAGCTCACTGAAAAAATGCAGGATAATTCGTTCCCCCTCTTTCACCTTCCTCGTCGGGCCAAGACACACCAAGCTGACCATTCAGTCGGGACTGGCCCAACATGTCTCGAGGCCGATGCATAATCTGATGAATGGGCATACGAGAGAGTCGAAGCATCGTATTGCTGTGCTCGAAGATGAGGATGTCGAGACCTTTGTGGCGTTCTGCGAGTATGCATATACGGGCGACTACACTGTGCCATCCAGACACAAGGCAAAAGAGACAGATAGTGGTGCTGAAACGCTTATATCGGATTCTGTCTCATCGGCCATCCCACAATCCGCTTCACCAGAGATTAGTCAAGAGATTGATGAGACGGCTGCGGATCTGAATACGAATGCTGATGAAGGTGGGACGCTGGACAGAGAGAAAATGGAGGAGCATGGGCAGAAAAGGGGCAATGAAGACGCACTTGATTACCCGCAGGTCGCAGCAGAGGAGGAATCGGGTGAATGGATACCTTGGTCAGAATATGCAAAACAAACAAAACACACAACTAAGAAGAAAGAAGCAGATATGAGCAAAGCCGGGGCTGAAGACCAACATGTTGCTCATTTGACACCACCGACAACGCCTCCCCTGGGTCGGACGAATGATAGTAGCGAGACTTCCACAATAGATGCTAGAGAAGCAAGACACGACTTGAAGGAATCCGCAGCTACAGATACACCTGTTGGACACAGCACGGCAACGGCATCCACTTCCACCCCGGCAGACAAAAGCGAAGAAGAAAAGGGCGAGGGTAGCGCAGACGAGCAAAGCCAGACCCCGAGAACAGTCATCGACATGTCCTTCGCCAAACAGAATGACCGGGCGCCTTGTGAGTCGGGACTGAGTCTGTGGGACGAATTTTTGGCCCTCAAGTACACCGATGGTCCATCACAAAACAACCAGACCGGCCCACTCTCCTCCAGTGATACCACAGACTCCATTCCATACCTCACCTTTCATGCGAAAGTCTACGTTTTCGCTACGCGCTACCTCATACCAGCCCTAGCACAACTCTGTCTCCAAAAGCTGCACAGGGACCTGCTTCTTCTGCCTCTCTCAGATGTAGAATTGACAGATTCCAGCTTGGAGCCACACAATATTCCCGGTGGGTTGGCCGCACGCAATGCCCAGATGGTCCTGAATTTGTTGCATTATGTCTACGCACAAACTACCCGTCTCGAACCCATCTCACCCACATCTGCCACGCAGCTACGAGACAATGAGCTGCGCAGACTGGTCGCCCATTACGCTGCCTGCAAGGTGAGGGAGCTAGCGCATTGCTCCTCAGCGGGAGATAGTGTGCGAGCGACGCCCTCTATGAGGCCAGTGGATGCTAGAGCTAAAACTGGGGGAGACTTTGTTTCAATAACTCTCAAGGAACTGTTGGAATCGACGAGGGAATTAGGCTCTGATCTTATTTATCGGATGATGTGATGTTTTTCTTTTTCATTTGGTTATATTCTTGGAAATGCTGTTTTTTAATAGGCAACGCCTATGAGCATGATAAAATTAACTACTAGCACAACATCTCAAGGTTCTCATACGGTTCAGATAGCCCACTCCTTTAACCAAGATTCTTTTGTTTTTCAATTTAATCTTAATTATTTACAAGATAGGACCGGGTTGTAGTTGTGGTTGTTGAAAAAGGCGACTTTGGTACAAACTCTAAATATAGAAATGAGCAGAGCCTCTCCCGTGTTCATCGAGAATGGCCCCTGACAAAAGGAGACGTGCTAAGAAGTAGTTAGTTGTACCTAAGATAAGGGGCCAAAACTGATATATATGAGTGGATGAAGCACCACTGCTATTGAGATCACATCTTCTCTCCACGCACAATGTACACCATTCTCCCTCTAGCTGCCCTCGGCCTCGCCGCCACGAGCGGTGCTTTTGCAAATCCTGCGCTTCCCACAACAATCGCTCTTCCCACTTCTTACCCCAACGCCAACAAGTCTTTTGAAGCCTTGGTAGAAACACTCCCTAGATGCCATCGACGCCATATTAAACAGGGCTTCACTCAAGAGTTTGCGCCTTCCTGTGGCGTAGATTCTTATAGCAGCTCCGACTCGAGTGATAACAGATGCGTCTGCGAAGCCATGCATGTTTACGACTTCATGAGACTGATATCCAAAGGGGGTTCGTTCTTGCAGACCCAGTGTCCAGGCCTTACTGATAACGAATCACTCGAAGCTATCGGCAAAATCGGGGGCCTGTGGGAAATGTGCGCACCGTATGGCCGTAAGTTACTTCCTTACATAACTCTGGCCTAGTACTTTGCTGATAAAACCCCCAGAAAAATATGCCGCTATAGCCGCTGAGTGGCTTCATGGTCTGAAGATCTTCGGTACGACCCATTGATTCCTTAACCTTTAGTTTCTCTCAGATTAAAAACGGCCCAACGGTGCAGAAGCCTCAAACCAAGCTTGTCAAAGCACCGTTGCATTCGTAGGTGGCCATTGGATTGCTGGCGATCAAAGGGTATGACAATTTCATGTACGATGTACAGTAAATAAGGTTTGTCCTATATGGAACCTATTGGGTGTGCGTGTTCAATAGAGCAGCTACCGGCAATTCGTGTGCTACGTACAATCAATGCCATGAACATAGAGGAACAACTAGTTTTGGGAGGGCATGGTGATTGGGGCTTACACAGCACTTGCTCTGTAACCTTTTGGCCCACGAATTTTGAACTACATGTCCTACAGCTCAACCCCCCGAAATAAGCATCACCCATGCACGACCCACTGATCGACGCACTATTTGAGCCTGCAGTGAGGCAGTGAAGATAAGACAATCCTGGGCGGTAACAGCCAAGCCCACCGGTTGGGATCTATGAGCTAGCCTCTCTGCTATTATCATTTCCTCTCCTTTTTTTTTTCTCCCTCACTGCCACAAAGTCTAAAGCTTGGCGACGGACCAGTCCGTCGATGCGCCGTCGATCATCGTTCTTGGCTGCTCATCACTCTTGGACACAGTCCTAATACCCCAAGACTCCTGTTTCCACGTCCCTGAGCGGATGGCTCTCAAATCAAACCGCGAACATGGGATTCGAATGAATGTACGTTTCTATCATGCCATTCACTACTCGTGACTGTCAACTGAGACAGGCAGGTGATGAATAACTCAACTACTTGCACAGAAGTTTAACCCCTATCTCTGTGGCACAGGCCACTGGGCTTCACCCCATAGACCTCTTGTCTTCTTGGCAGACCACGCAGTCTATCCAACAGCACTGATTGACTAACCCCCTAGGCACCCGAATTTCTCTATCTCGATGCCCAGACTTCACCTGTGGATCATGCATTCTTTCTACCTCAGGGGAACCTGAAACTTCGTCATCGCCCCTGGTGTGCCCAAGCCCGAAGATCTGCGCTAGTCAACAGTAACTGAGTTGGTTTTCTTGGCTCTTCCCATCGATTATGGGTCCTGACAACATTGGTGCCCCTGATAGACGGATTTTCACCGATATTTGCTGAGAAGTCCGTTCTTGTCATGAGTTCTCAGGATTTCCGGGTAGTCTTGGGATTTCTTGGCTATGGGTCGTTAGTACCACGACGAGTGTCGTTGCTTTTGAAATTGAGGCGCAGTTGTTGCTTGTGGGAATCGTAGTATATTTATGGACTGTCCCCCTAGAGTATCCTGTCTTCATATACTTCTCTCAGTCTTTTCAGTTCTTCAGTCATTCTGTTTAATTTGTTTATCCAGCACCAAAAAAAGACCATTCCACCGTCACATATTCTCTTATTGTGAATCTAAAATACTCGTTTATCCAGTCTCGAACCGCCATTTCCAACACCATGTCCAGCCCAGTGCTGCTAGGGACCTACCCTAGTAGTCCCAGCATCCCTCCCACCTCCTCTCACTCCAACGCCCCAATCTTCGAAAGCAAAGATGCCCAAACACCAACACGGCTGAACTTCCACCAACGCCTTCGACATTTTACATGGGCATGGTACACACTCACCATGAGCACCGGCGGTCTAGCTCTCCTGCTTGCCGCCCAACCCTACCAATTCAAAGGTCTTCACGAGATTGGCCTGACAGTCTACATAATCAACCTTGTTCTCTTCGCTCTAGTCTGTTCTCTGGTGGCAGCGCGGTTTTGGATCCACGGCGGATTCCTCAAATCCCTCTCCCACGACCGTGAGGGTCTTTTCTTTCCTACATTCTGGCTTTCAACCGCAACCTTAATCACAGGCCTGGAAAAGTACTTCGGTGACGATGCAGACCCGGCGTTTTCACTTACCCTCGAAATCCTCTTTTGGATATACTGCGTCTGCACCTTCGCGGTCGTTGTCATCCAGTACTCCTTCGTTTTCACCTCTGTCACCTACCGCCTCCAAACAATGATGCCCTCATGGATCCTACCCGCCTTCCCCATCATGCTCAGCGGTACCATCGCCTCCGTAATTGCCGAGAGACAACCATCCCGCTCCTCCGTCCCCATCGTCGCAGCGGGCATGACATTCCAGGGTCTGGGATTCTCCCTCAGCTTCATGATGTACGCCCATTACATCGGCCGCTTAATGGAATCGGGCCTGCCAAACCGCGAACACAGACCAGGTATGTTCATCTGTGTCGGACCACCGGCTTTCACGGCCCTGGCTCTCATCGGCATGGCCGGTGGTCTACCGGAGGAGCTAAGGGTCATGGGCAGCGAGGATCCGGCAGCCGACGGCCGCGTGCTGGAAATGCTTGCCCTGGCTGCGGGAGCATTCCTGTGGGCTCTTAGTTTCTGGTTCTTCTGTATCGCTCTCGTTGCTGTGCTGAGGGCTCCGCCGAGGGCGTTTCATCTTAGTTGGTGGGCTATGGTTTTTCCAAACACGGGGTTCACTATTGCTACGATTACTCTCGGGAATGCCCTTAACAGCTCTGGTATCAAAGGCGTAGGGTCTGCGCTGTCTATATGTGTTATCTGTATGTGGGTTTTTGTGTTTGTCTCTCATGCTCGAGCTGTATATAGGCAGGATATCATGTATCCTGGGAAGGATGAGGATGTTTCGGAGTGAAACTGAGTTGATTGTTTTTCTATTTTCATTTATTTATTTCCCCCAACCATAATCTGTCATTTAAGTACATATCTTCTCATCTGTTTTATGTGTGTTGGTTTTCTCATCATGACTTGGATACTTGAACCCCTAAAAGTTATTCTCACGCTCAGGAGCGCAACACAAATACAATTCCTTGAAAGAAATTCTATTCAATGGCATGAGTTGTTACTGGCTTTTTTGTTCACAATGTTTACCATTCTATATTCTAGGATACACTGAGTGTCCAACATGGTATACAAGTCAACGAGACAGACGTCCAGCTCGCAGACAGGAATGTAGAAAAACCGTGGGTATCGTGGCATGCAGAAGTAGGCGCCTGCTTGGGACAGTGGCAGGAGTGGCTGGGTCCTAGCCCAAAAAAAGACAGGATGCCAGTTGAAAGGATCATGACGGGACCGACAAATTTGACTGGCCGAATTCGCTCTTGTATCGAACTAGACAACCCTATTCAAGAGTTTGACGTCATGTCGCAGGTGCAAGGAAGGACTGAATCCTAAAAGCCTTGTGTGGTAAAAGAAGCTAAGACCGACTAGCTTTTGCGGAGAACCGCGGGGCACTGGCTGTGCGAGGCATTGATAGCGGATGGAGTGAAGCAGAATGGCAGGAAATCGCCATAGCCGCCGATTAAGCAACTTTTCTGCCAACATTGCCAATACCACGACCGACCACGCTGACAATCACATCGCTTTGCTCATGCTCACCGCTAGCATCCCGAATACCCCAGCCGGGGGCACCAAACTTAGCCAAGTCCCTTGCCAATAGGATCAGAGTCGGGTCGGCAATGACATCCTTCCCAATCTGCAAACGACCCACATCCTCCGAGCCCATACTCATGAGCGTCAGCATGGTCGTCGCAGCCGCGGGAGTCACACACCCGCCCTTGGAAATCGTCTCGAGTAATTGGTACGCGCACTGCTTCCCAATATCCTCTGGTGGTTGACCCCCAGACGGTGGGGAGGCCACATCAGCTGAGTAGAGACAGCCCGTTGATGACTCTGCAACCAGAGACAGACCAAATCCAAGCCCGATCTTCTTTTTCGCAGAGGGATTGTTCTTCTCTGGGGCCGGCACTAAAGGCGCAGATGCCACATCCGAAAAGACATAGGTGTCTGGACTCAAGGGATTCAAAATACCACGTGCCGTCTCGATCATGCGTGCATTATTGGAACCCGAGACACCGACCGAGTACGCCACACCGCGGATGCGCTTGATGCGGCCGGGGTTCATCAGATGCAGAGTCTTGGGTAGACGGACCTGGTGCCCGAACACGAACTGCACTTCACCACCGCCACCTCTGCCATTCGGTCCGGGATTTGACCGGCGCAAGATGCGCAGCTCGATGTTGTTGAAAATCCCGAAGGAATTGTACAGCGGCAGAATCGCGGTGCGGACGCTGTCGACAGACATGTCCCCCGTCGGGGTAGAAGAGGTGATCACTCCGGGGCCGGTAAAAAGGACTTTCATGGGTGCTTTTGAGAATGGGGCGAGCAGGCACAGAGGGATGAGATAGTAGCTCAGACCGCGGGTGCATCCTGCGGGCAGTTCGTAGTTGATCATGCCGCCACTGGCGCCGGTACCGGATGTGCTGCCGGTGATCAGACCCGGCCTGTAGACTAGAATTGTACCGGTGTAGGAGATTTCCATTTGGGAGCCATTGGTAACGGCTTCCAGCAGGCGCAGGAAGGAGATTTCATGAGGTGCGAGGCCCGGGTTGGTGGGCGAGTTGGACCGGATTTGGGAGATGTGGACTGTTCGGCCGGTCAGGGTAGCTAGGACCAGGCGATACAGTAGATTGTGATGGGACACAAAGCGGAGGGGAGGCTGGGAGGTAGCCATGACGGGGTTGTGGGTGTTCGATGTCCTGTTGGTCTTCGGTTCGCCGAAGAAAAAGAAAAATGGTCGGCGCAACGTTGATCCGCGATAAGGCTTTATCTTATCTTGATGCGTCACTCTCCGACTACATTTCGTCGTCCAGCACATCCTCGGCGAGACAATCATGCTGCCTCCTGCGCTGAATATTCCAAAATGGTATGTTGTACGCGTACTATGGCCCAGGTTATCCGAGACTAAGCATCATCCAGGCTCGAAGCCAACGCTCACCTCCTCCAACCCCCGGTGAACAACTACTGCGTCTACCACCCCTCCTCCCCAGCAACAGCAGGGTATACGGTGATGATAGTCGGGGGACCCAATGCACGAACAGACTACCACATAAATACGACGCCGGAGTTTTTCTACCAGTACCGCGGGTCCATGCTCCTCAAGACGGTGGACAATTCCACGACACCACCAAGTTTCCAGGACATC